AAGCCCTGAGGAGGGGATAAGGCTTGTTTAGGGGCCCAAGTGAAGGGCAGGACTTAAAAGGGCACCAGAGAACTGTTAAAGCCAAAGAATTGCCAAGGAGAAAGCCCTGGGGGGCAGGGACAGACATAAAGCTAGCCCAGAAAGGGCTGAGAACTGAATCCAGAGGCAGGGCTGTAGATACCAACAAGGGCACAGTGACAGTCCTTTTTGGACCTTTGTTACCCCAGAAGGGCTTCGTTCATTTTAGACTTTGTGTGACTTAGCCGGAAGGCTGAGCCACTGAAGACCCACCTGACAAGGGAAAAAGACAGGGAGTACTGCGAGCAGAGAAAGAGTGCAGGTTCGCACCCAACTGACAGGAGGCACTCACGAGAGGTAAGTGCACCCTGTCACACACATATAGTATTTCTGATTCCCAATTAGGTTATTAAATATATGGTCCAATTCTCCATTGCTTTAAGGCATACAACCTTACTAAATCAGAATGGTATTGGTTTACAACAACTATGAACTGATGTAAATGAATACAGAAGGTGCAAAGTACCAGAGGCTTGGGTCTATACAGTATGCACAATGGAAGTGACTTAAGTCTGGCCTTCACAAACTTGCAATGGAACAACTACAGACCTTTTGTTATTTCAATGCAAGTCTGTGTGTGGTCACACTTATTTTGGTATAACGATGTAAATAGGACACTTCTCAAATAACAAGAGTTGTGAATTAAAGCCTATTTAGTTACTTTGGTACAGGTTTGTTTGTAGACCAGCCCTTAAATTTACTAAGAACTAGTTTAGATATGTAACCATAACATTGTACTATCACTTTTTTCATCCAGTGTCATCATTTCAACTCAATTTTATTTCATGATGCTTTAGCCTTTGATTTTTAATGGCTATTTTCTCTCTCTCTTTACCTATTGCTCTGTTGTACTTTAATAAATTAGCTCTTTAGTACTTTTTCAGGAAGAGATAAATAAAATAAATAAATAAATATCTAATTGCTCTTATATAGCACTTTTCATCAATATATCTCAAAGTACTGGATTTTCTTTTTTGTACATAATGTGTTATAATTATATTTACAATATAATTATGTTCTAATCTGTTCTAATGTTGGTCTTTCTTTTTTGTATATAATCTGAGGGTTTATCTACACAGGAAAGTTATGGCAGTATAAGCTTAGATTTGAATTTAAACCGATAGTTATACCAGCATAGCCCCTCATGTGGAGACTCGTATTCCAATGGGAGTGCTTTTTCCCCCCCGAGTTTAGTTCATGTTGTTTAAATCTCTTTCCGAAATTCAACTGAAAAAGCCACTCTTACATTGGACCTGATAAAATTGTCCAAACAGAGGGTTATACTGGTATAACTAGATTGGTCTAACTGGTAAAACATTCCTGTTTAGATAAGGCCTGAGACATCATTAATTTGTTTTAATCACTTCCTAGTTACTGCATCAATTCTTTAAATTGTTGATTTTAAAAATGAAATACAGACATTAAAAAATGTGAGGGGGGACAGTTCTCAATAATGGCTAGTGTACTGTAGTTTCATGACAAGAACGTTGTTTTCGAATTCTGGATGACTCACAAGTGGAAATGAGTTTGACTATCACATTCACCATTTGTCCATATCATAAAACTACCACATACTTTGCTATACTACTTTACAACAAATTGGTCAATGGACAATGGAAGGAAAACTTTCAAGACCTTCTGAATAGTGACTCCAATATTGATGAAAGAATCTTTGACTCAATCCCTCAACATCCCATTAAGGATGACCTCAGAACACCACCACCACCACTTGTGGAGGTAAAGAAAGCCAAACAGATGAAAAGCCAAACAGATGAAGAACAATAAGGCATCTGGACCTGACAGTATCCCTGCTGAAATCTTCAAAAAAGGAGAACTGGCTTGCCAGCTTCACGCCCTAATCCTCAAGATCTGGCATTTAGAAGAAAACCTAGCTGACCTCAGGGATTCTATTATCATGACCATGACCATCTTCAAAAAAGCAGAAAAATCGGATTGTGGAAACTATCAAGGAATTGCCCTGTTGTCCACCTCCAGAAAGATCCTCTTGAGCATTCTCAACTGGCTGCTCCCTCTTGCCAAGGAAATCCTCCCAGAATCACAATGCAGATTCAGACCATCTCAAGGTACCAAGGACATGTTCTTCACTGCTCACCAACTTCAGGAAAAGTGCCGAGAGCATCATCAACCTCCCTACATAGCCTTCATTGATCTCATGAAAGCATTTGATTCCATCAATTGTGAAGCTGTGTGGAGAATTCTCCTCATCTTTGGATGCCTGCCAAAATTTGCCATTCTCCAACTCCTCTATTACAACATATCCATGATAGATATCAGCAATGGATCAAAAACGGACCCCTTTGTACTAAAGACAGGAGTCAAGCAAGGCTGTGTCATTGCTCCAACACTCTTCTTCATCTTCCTTGCTGTTACCCTCCTTCTCATTGTTACAAGCTCACCTCTGCACTTGATATTCAATACAGAATGGATGGCAAGCCCTTCAACCTCAATTGCCTCCCATTCAAGACAAAGACTATCACTAAATCACTCATTGAATGACTGTGCCCTGTGCACTCACTCGGAAGAAGTTCTTCAAAAAACAGTTGACATCTTCTCTGAGGCCTACAATCAACTAGGTCTAACACTCAACACCAAGAAAACTAAAGAGCTCCACCAATGGACTCCGAACCACCACAATCCTGCTCCCTCAATCAAGATCAAGAATGAGATCTGGATAATGTCAAGCACTTCCATTACCTTGATAGCATCTGTCGCAGAAAGCCGACATTGAAAAGGGAGATTCAACACTGCCTCCAATATGTCAGTGCAGCTTTCAGACACTTAAGAAAATGTGTCTTTGGAGATCATGACTTCAAGAACCAAACCAAGCTTCTCATGTAGCAGGCCGTCATTATTCCTGCTCTCCTGTACAGTGCCAAAACCTGAGTCACATAAAATAGACACCTCAAGGCTCTTGAATGATACCATCTATGGGGCCTCCACAATATCTTCCAAATCAAGTGGGATGATCAACGCACTAACATCACCATTTTGTCCCAAGCCAAAAACTCCTGCATTGAAGCTATGATTATCCATTACCAACTCAATTGGGCTGGTGACATTCTTCGAATGCCAGATAATTGACTCCTGAAGCAGGTCATGTTCTCACAACTGAGCCAAAGCCAACAGATATGGGGAGGGCAAAAAAGGCACTTCAAAGACACCCTCAAAGCCATGTGGATGTTGCACATGAAGAAGTGCAACATCCACAAAATCATGGGAAACCCAAGCCGTCAACCGACTAAAATGGAGGACCTTGTGGCAAGGATTCCAGCATTTTGAGACCCAATGGAGAAACGGGAAAGAAGGAAAGAATGCACTGCAGCACAACTCAACAATCCAGATCCACCCCTTTCACCAGAAAAAGTCTGCCCCAATTATGGCAAGATCTGTGGATCCCAGACTGGTCTTAAAAGTTACGTGAAGATCCACCAGCAATAACTGGCTATCATTTCATGGAAGACAATCATCCTCAAAATCTGAGGGATCGCCAATCAGTACTTTCACAGAAAGTCTAAGACTGAGCTCACAAGCATGATGATCAGGATTATGGTGCTTTTGCAGAGATGGGAAGTGGGTCCAGATCTGGAGCAGGAGCCATGTTGGGGGTCAGGAATAAGGTGCAGTAAGGAGTGCTTGTGCTATGATTGGCCAATGCAAACAAGTGTCAGTTTCATGCATATTAAATTTATCCACAACTTTTTAATAAAGGAAGGATGTGGAATTTTTACACATAGAATTGTAATACTTTACATTTACGTTTACAGAATATACTTAAATTGAGGAAAAAACAAACATCTAAATTGTGCCTGCCAATAGTAACATTTTCAGGGACATTTTACTTCTCCTTCTGTCAACCATTGGTCATGCTAGTACCCGGATGTATGGTATCTCTGAAAAATTAAAAGCCAGCTTCTTTTGCCTCCCTGGTTACAATTCTAAATCTTTTGTGGTTAGCTTTTCTTCTTCTAGCATGCACTTTTTAAAATCTACTTAGGCACAAAGCTTTTGGGAAGTGCACAAAGAAAAAGATAGCGCTTCTCAATTTTCAAGTACCCACTGCTGTAGGCAGAAGCATAAACGCTATGAATGAATGTGGAGAACTGGAATGCCTAGGCTATATATTACCAATACACATAACACTGCAGAGCACAGCACTTACATTGTAAACACAGGTTTTTAAGGGTTTCTAACTGGATGTAAAATTTAATTGTGGGAAGAACCTTGCATGCAGTGTCTCAAGTCCAAGGATAATTTCTATTTTAAATACAAATTTTATAAACTCCATTCATATTTTTTTAGATATAAGAAGAATTAAATTTAATCATTTTAAGACACTATTTTCACCTGCACAATTTGAAAATAGCTCTAAGTAGAAAGTGAAATTTGGCAAGCCTTTACTTCACACATTTGCACAATAGCAATAACAATTCTCTAATTAATATCTTCTATAGATGTACTGAGGATGCTGGCAGGACATGATGAACAAACAGCTCTACAGGAACCATTATGATGTAGTGGGTAAGTGATATCTCTGTGGCTAAATGTATGTTTAAATGATGTACTTGAGAAATTCCTCTGTCCAAGTGACCATTTTATTGGCAATAATTTTGTTGGTTTTGAAGAAAGGATTGTTTGGAGGAGGGAAAAGGAGGTTCACACTACCAGCTGCTCTGGAACAATGTTTTGGAAGAATGAATTTTAGTGAAACAGTTTTTACCCAATTCTGCTTTGACAAATTGCAATGAATCTGTAAATAATAGACCAGCTTTGTCAAAGGTTCAAAAGAGAAGCTTCTATTTCCGGTGCTGGCCACCCTGCTTGCTTACAGGCTTATTAAAAGTCAGACTTATGAGAGGAGACAAATGACTAAAAAACCAGGGAGAAAACATCCATTAACAAACCTTGCTTCGGGTCGCTAGTTGCAGTGACAGAGGTGCTGGCAGCGAGATGAGTGTTCTCCACAGTCCCATAAACCACAGGGCTGTGCTCTGGGACCTGGCTGGACAGCTGCTGGGATTTGAAGTACAAAAAAGGGTGATAATGAGCATGCGAACATAAAAACTAGCAACATGGAACACAAGCAAGCAAGGGGGGGAGACGAGAGTAGGGTGGGAGATAAAAGAAAAGCAAAAGGCAGGAAAAAAATATACACAGACCAATTTAATAAATTCAAAAAGTACATGGGAAGGGGAGGAAGGAAAAAGGCAGCAGGAAAAGGGGGGAAAAAGACGATTACTATTAACAACAGCAAGAAAAGACAGCACAGCACAGTCATTAAGACACTTCATTCATTTATGTTTCTTCGAAGTACAGCAGAAATGCTCCGGGTAATAATTTTCAATAACTGGGGTACGATCTGACCCTCCCCCGGCCCCCCCAAAAAAAAATTTGTAAAAAGAACTGGCTAACTCCATTTGCAAATGATAAGCAATTTAAAAAATCTGTGATATTTTTTGATCAAACCATTAGAAAACATTAGAATTTGCAGAGAAAACTGTGAATATCAAAAGGCAAAATCTTGATAGATGTAAGAGCTAGCCACCCTGATCGACTATGAACTTGTTGATTCAATGAAACCCCACAAAAACACAAATATTTGTAATCAAAATTTAGAAAAATAATCTAGATTGGATATATATTTGTGTGTGCACATGTATCAAGATATCTAATATCTTCTACAAAAGAGGCTTATGTATTATACCCGTTGATTGATAATGAGATGAGAAAGAAAATTATATTTCTTCACCCTCAAAGGTGAACAGGAATAACTGGTCCCTACCCAGTTTACAGCAGGCCTGATAAAGGTTACATATTTTTAAATGGCCAGATTAAAAATTTAGAAGTGGCCAGAAAGCCACTTGACCAGGACTGAGGAAATTCCAGGTACAGCTTATCTCAGAGGGAACAAATATCTTCACCATCACCACCACCATCTATCTGACAGGACAAATGTTCACTCTGGCAAAACATTCAAAGCAGATACTCTTCTGGATTTGGGTTGTATTTGCGGAGATTTCATAAAGCCACAAAAGCCAACATCTCCCCTCAGAAATCTAACAGAAACTTTTTATGAAACTATAAATGACTATACCAAACCTATTCCAATTTTTCAGAGTAAGGCTCTTTTGCAAGTTACTTTGTAGATGGGTGGGGAAAGTGTTCCTATCAGTAAATCCTTCTTAAGGCACTAACCAAAAACCACATGGGGAGAAAAAAATGGAACAAATTTAACATTTATCATTTTAAAAAGCCCATAATTTTGCTTTACAATGTATATTAATATCTGATCCAGTAGCTTCACAATGTGAAGTTCCCATCTACACATCTACCTTCAGTGACACCTCAGATGGGATATACTAAAAAGCTGGGATCTTCAAAGGAGTTGAAGGGAGCTAAGTGCCCAACTTCCATTGAAATTAAATATCATTTGGGTACATAACTCCCTTAGGCGCCTTTGAAAATTGCAGCAGAAGTCTAAAGAAAAAATTCTCTCTCCAAATTCTTTAAGGTAGAAACCATCCTGGCACCTAGCAAAATAAAAGAAGTCTGGGAAAGATTCACTTTTGTCTTGTTTTCACATTCTGAGTGTACAGCTCGATACAGCTGCAACGCAGTGTCCAACAAAAAATAATGGATAGATGCATACATAAATCCACACAATCAAACACAGGTTATAACATTGAAAGGAAGTTGTGATGTGCACACTACACTGCCGGAGTCTTCATTGGAAAGAGAGGTTTTGGGTACAGATTAATAAAATCTTCAGTAGTATTGAAAACTTCATCATATGAGTTTTCCCTACTAAACTAAAGGCCATACTCCTTATGGAAATGAGGGTGAAACTCCGATGCTTTCAGTAACATTAACTTTTGAGCTGACATCCTGTTGGAAACTCACTTGGTCCCCAAGGAAGCATGTCACAGAAATTGGCTTCATACCCCAATATGCCAAGTCTAGACCTACCAAATCCTGTAGAATTGTGAAGAAGCCTCTGCAGGCTAGAGGACAGGTATGGGGAAAATGTGGTTTGGTGAGCATGGTGGTGAGCCACTTGCTCCTCCGTTCTGTACCTCCTGGCCATTATGTCAGTATCTCTTTCCCTCTTCCAGTGGGACTAAAGAAGATCAAGCCTTTGTGAAGCTGCTGCTGCTCTTTTTGCATTATTGGTATACTGAAGAAACTATATTTGAGGTGTCAAGTATCAGAGGGGTAGCCGTGTTAGTCTGAATCTGTAAAAAGCATCAGAGGGTCCTGTGGCACCTTTAAGAAAGTATTGGGAGCATAAGCTTTCGTGGGTAAGAACCTCACTTCTTCAGATGCAAGTAATGGAAATCTCCAGAGGCAGGTATAAATCAGTATGGAGATAACCAGGTTAGTTCAATCAGGGAGGGTGAGGTGCTCTGCTAGCAGTTGAGGTGTGAACACCACAGGAGGAGAAACTGCTTCTGTAGTTGGAAAGCCATTCACAGTCTTTGTTTAATCCTGATCTGATGGTGTCAAATTTGCAAATGAACTGGAGCTCAGCAGTTTCTCTTTGGAGTCTGGTCCTGAAGTTTTTTTGCTGTAAGATGGCTATCTTTACATCTGCTATTGTGTGGCCAGGGAGGTTGAAGTGTTCCCCTACAGGTTTTTGTATATTGCCATTCCTGATATCTGACTTGTGTCCATTTATCCTCTTTTTGTATATTGCCATTCCTGATATCTGACTTGCGTCCATTTATCCTCTTGCGTAGTGACTCACATTTATCCTCTTGCGAAGTGAGGTTCTTACCCACGAAAAGCTTATGCTCCCAATACTTCTGTTAGTCTTAAAGGTGCCACAGGACCCTCTGTTGCTTTTTATATTTGAGGTGTACGCTTAAAAAAATTCAGCAAATATCAATTTTTGGTTGCCATGTCTGACCATTATTGAAGAAGAAACTAATGCCCTTCTAAATATTACATTATACACACCTATCATTCAAACTCAAAAGCAGAAACAAGCAATAAGAAATTACTGTTAAAAAAGGCAGACTGGTAAACAGACATAATGCAAAGGGGAGCTAGTAGTTTCTTGGGAACAGTTAAGTTTTCCAGAAATGAAATTGACAAAGCTCGCTAGGCCCTGGGTGAAGAACCATATTTATACTACAGCCAGGCCTGAATGAAGCCAAATAAAAGACATTTTACAGATTAACTGATTTCAGTAATGCTTTCCTCACTGTCTGCCTGGATTATCAGCTTCATTTTTTGAAAAAAAAAAAAATCTATGTAGAAAAATAGTAGGGAGAATGGGACCAGAAGCGACAGGAGCCAAATGAGACTGGAGAAGGACAAGACATTTATAAAATCTGTGAATGATTTGGGTTAGGAAGGAACCATGTTTTTTTAGAGAGTTGGAAAGCACATTGTGGGAATTAAAACAATGTAAATATATACATAAAAATAGGTTTCAGAGTAGCAGCCGTGTTAGTTTGTATCCGCAAAAAGAACAGGAGTACTTGTGGCACCTTGGAGACTAACAAATTTATTTGAGCATAAGCTTTCGTGGGCTACAGCCCACTTCTTCGGATGCATAGAATATAAAACAAAAATAATTATATTAAAATAGATCATCCTCATAAGGTGAACAGCTTGAAAATGCAATATTTTCAAAGGGGATCTAGCAGTAAACTACTCAAGTATGACTGTTATGATTTATGATGGTGAAAGAACTTCTCAATGCAATTACCTTCCACCTTGGGTGGTTGTCCTAGCAAACATACAAGGCAAGAAGGTTTGGTCACCATTTGGATGAGAGACTCTCTAGGAAAACCCAGGGTGTTTTTGGTTCAGTAAAGGGTGCTGTTCCTTATAAGCAGGGATCCTAGAAATCCGTTTGCCGCGGAAAAACGCAGAATTTGTGCTTTTACAGAGAATCTTGAGCTTTTACATTTTGTGAAAAAATTAAAACATATATTAACTAAATTTTACTGAAAGTCCCAGTGTCATCTATTCAATGCACATGACCTCCCACACTTGTAGTTGATTTTCATTTCCGGCGTATAGAGGTTACTCAATGATATATAATCCATCTCAAATTTCACTTCAGCCTCCAGACGTGAGTAATTAAAGTTATGAAAAGATGACAAAAACTTTAAAAATCACCCCTAAAGGCCATGTCACCAGGCAACCAGTATCAAGCGGAGTGCCCCAGGGGTCAGTCCTGGGGCCGGTTTTGTTCAACATCTTTATTAATGATCCGGATGATGGGATGAATTGCACCCTCAGCAAGTTCGCAGATGACACTAAGCTGGGGGGAGAGGTAGATACACTGGAGGGTAGGGATAGGGTCCAGAGTGACATAGACAAATTGGAGGATTGGGCCAAAAGAAAGCTGATGAGGTACAGAGTCCTGCACTTAGGAAGGAAGAATCCTATGCAGTGCTACAGGCTGGGGACCGACTGGCTAAGCAGCAGTTCTGCAGAAAAGGACCTGGGAATTATAGTGGATGAGAAGCTGGATATGAGTCAGCAGTGTGGCCTTGTTGCCAAGAATGCCAACAGCATATTGGGCTGTATTAGTAGAAGCATTGCCAGCAGATCGAGGGAAGTGATTATTCCCCTCTATTCGGCACTGATGAGGCCACACCTGGAGTATTGTGTCCAGTTTTGGTCCCCCCACTACAGAAGGGATATGAACAAATTGGAGAGAGTCCAGCGGAGGGCAATGAAAATGATTAGGGGGCTGGGGCACATGATTTACGAGGAGAGGCTGAGAGACCTGGGGTTATTTAGTCTGTAGAAGAGAAGAGTGAGGGGGGATTTGATAGCAGCTTTCAACTACCTGAAGAGGAGTTCCAAAGAGGATGGAGCTAAGCTGTTCTCAGTGGTGGCAGATGTCAGAACAAGAAGCAATGGTCTCAAGTTGCAGTGGGGGAGGTCTAGGTTGGATATTAGGAAACACTATTTCACTAGGAGGGTGGTGAAGCACTGGAATGGGTTTCCTAGGGAGGTGGTGGAATCTCCATCTTTAGAGGTTTTTAAGGCCC